ACAATAAAACAATAAACATGAAAACAGTGCAAGTAAAAAATAAAACACAACATTCATCATTCGGGTGGGGGCAGGTTACAATCTAAAGCGAAAGACATTTTTCTCCTTGCTAATAATTAATAATTCTGACATACCTGTCTATTTCAATCTGCTTTCTAATGAAAAAGGAGAAATGAGTTTATTAACTTAAGAGCAGATTGTATGCTGTCAAAAAAACCTATGACTCGGGGGTCTCACAGTTAGTGTATAATGAAAAAATAAGAATTAATTCAATCAGTATGTTGGCACAGAACTTGTAACAACACATAAAGGAGGAAAGCCTTAGTTATATACAGGATAACAACAAAGGGAAGAAAAGAAGATCCAGATTCATATTAATCTAATCTCATAGATTAATAGTTCATATTTGATTTGGGATTTTATTTATTGTTACATTTTTTTTATTTACCCCCATCATTTTCTTGTATGTTGAAATGCTATCTCCTCAAAACATTTAGCAAGTGTTATTAACCATTTTTATAGTTAAATTTCCAATCTGCTTTATTAGTATTGTTCTTTTGTGATGCCATGTCTTCCAAAGGATTCAAATTACATAATTTCCCAACTATTTGAATATAGTCAAGACTTTTTTGATATTCATCATGGTATAATAATCGGGAATGATATATAGCGTGTATATTTTGTAGAAATGGTTGTAGAAATGCAGAAGTACAGCCAAATTCTAGAAAGAAACTTGCATTGTTTTGAGAAACAAGGATTTCCAAATTTGCCTTCATCAAAGTAACATGAACGTTGGATAAGATGGCATTTGTGGGAAGAAAATACCTAGAAAGATTTTTTAATATTTTTGTGATTTTGCTAATTTTCTTTAACAAATTCTTATTATTTTTTTCTAAAATAATAAGGCGGCTTTCAGAGTTTTAATATGGTAGCACTAGCAGTAGCACTTAGACTTATATACCACTTCATAGTGCTTTACAGTCCTCTCTAAGCGTTTTACAGAGTGAGCATATTGCCCCCAAACACCTGGGTCCTCATTTTACCGACCTCGGAAGGATGGAAGTTTGAGTCAACCTTGAGTCGGTCAGGACCAAANTTAAAATTAAAAAAAACATTTATTAAAAAAAAAAGTAGATGCATAATGCCAAGGAAGAGAGCACCAAGGCTTACTCAAATAGCATCATAATTAAAACATCTGAAATTTAAGAGGAAAATTTCAGCTACTGTGAAAGTATTGTTTCACTATAGCTCCATATAGTTGCCATATACAGTATATGTCTTTGAATTTGAAATAATATGATTCATCTCAAACCCTATACCTAACGATGGCTCCCCTGAAGTGTTCATCCCATCCCATCCCTTTAGCATTAAAAAATGAGCTACACCGAAGGAAGCACAAATGCAGTACACGGCTGCATTGATATTCCCAGTATTTTGCAAAGACTCCCTACAGTAGGGAATAATCTGCAATGCCTAAACACAACTTTTTTGATTCCATCCTCTCTACCTTAGCCACAATATTATTAGGCCTATTGACCTTTCTGTGCAGGTAGCAAACTGCAATAAAGGCAAGCAGCCAACACAAATATCCAAACAGTGTGCCTCTTCATTCCCACCCCCCTCCATAGGACAAGAGTTGAAGAACCTTCTCCATTGTAACATACACAGGAATGGAACAGCAGTGATACGAACATACTCCCTGCTGCTGCCAGGAAAAAGGAAGCACTGAATCTCTGCTGAAAAGGGCTGAACATTGGAAAGAGTGTTCTGTCACTTTTGTGCACAGTAATCCACTGTGCCACTGAGTCCCATCAGAGGGATTTTGAAAACTTAAATGATTGAAAGCACAAGAGCACCAGCTCAAGGTTCCCAGCCAGCCCAGACATCCTAATTAGCTTTATACACACTCCCACTCAGAGGGAAGAGAGCACATACAAAAAAAGGACTGTCACACTGCTTTTCTCTCTTTCTAAAAGCGTGGCGGTGCTTACCAGCTTTCCCACTGTGACACCTCTCATGGTAGTTAATTAGAATCATGTCACTGATTGGACCCTGACAGACATTCGGCCTGTATCTTGCCACAACCCACTCCCCTCCCAGGCTAACATTAGTTGTGCAAAGCACCTCTCTGCTTCCAAAAGCTTTTTATAGTGTCCTGGGCAGAAACTCCTCCTTGCCAGAAATGTAGGCCATATTGCCTCCCTCACAGAACATCCGCTCCACCTGTTTTGAGATGCCTGACCTTTAGTAGCACTAATTCAAAATGACACTGCTCATTTAATGACATTTCTCTTGATTTTTGTTTTAGTCTCTTTTAATTATTTAACTCTGGAGCCTTTGGCCCTTTTCTTTCAACTGTAAGAGAGTTTGCCCCCTTTTCACAAAGGGGTTTAGGACAGCACCTCAGCTCCGTCCATTCGTGTCATTATCACATGAGCACAAAGGGCATTCACAACAAATCAAAAAGAAGATGGGACATTAATCAAAGATGTTCCTTAATATGCAAAATATCAGATAGAGAAATTGCAAAGTAGATATAGGCATCTGTAGCAATGATTTCAAAGGAGTCTTGACAATTTCCTTTGTTCTGTAATCCAGCATTACACAGCAGCAAGGCCTCTTTTGGCCACATACTGCAGTTCATCATTATTTTACAGTTGCCTGACAAGCAGTTTACCACTTTTCCCTTCCTGAAACTGGAGACATGAATTTGACCATGATATTTTAGGTTATGGAGAATTCTTAACGGGTCTATTCTTGGGGAGTAGAATAATCCCATTCTTCACCCAGGATCTTCATACCACCGTAGATCCCATGGTTAACCAAGACCTCCCTTCTGGAACCATATAACACAGGAGGAAAAAAAATATTGGGAAAAATTACATGAATGCTCAGAGACTTGAGAGAACAACCATATTCAGCCTGTAATCCTATAACCACTAAATATAATTCAGCTGTGAGATTTCCTGCCAAAGCAACCTACATTCAGAGCAAGGATAAAGGGAAGAAGCTGAACAACTTTAACCACTGTATATTTGTTAATGCTTGAAGCCATCCCAAACCAGTGAGACTTTTCAACCCAAAATGTAGAGCTTGACTGAATCCCTTCCTAGACAGATTATCCTAAACTGACCACTGTATATAAACAACAT